ATTCTTTCCCCTAATGAATTGTTTTGGCACTCTTGTTAAAAATCAGTTGGCTATAAATGCATGGGTTTATTTCTAGACTCTCAATTCGATTCCATGTATCTATATGTCTCTCCTCTTACCAGTATTACACTGACCTGTCTTGATTACTGTAGCCTTGTCATGAGTTTTGAAATCAGGGTATTTCTACTTTTTGTGTCCACCTTTCAGCACACAGAGCAAGGCTGGGTGTAGCTTCAGTGGAAGATCTGACTTGATGGGCTGAGGACATATAAGGAGAGGAAAGGCCATGGTAAGCATGAGACCGGGAGTCAGGGACCCTAGTCTTTAATCCTTGCCCTGCCATAAGTCTGTATAACCTTATGTAAGTCACTTGATGTTTCTGGGCCTCTGTTTCCTGTTATGTAGAATGAAAGCTCTGAGTTGGTTAACTGTTAAAGGAATTTTCAATTCTAATAATCTGGAGGCGTGGGGGATTCAGTTTACATAGGAAAAGTCCATCACAGGACCCTCTAATTTTATAGCTAAGCATTCATAGACTTTCACTTACTTGAAACTTAGGTATGGGAGAGGAACTGTACAAGACAGATCTGGATTATGCTCTCATACCAGATAGCAATGAAATTCCCAAAGATTATCAAGGTCATGTCTAAAGACTCAGGTTCTCACTGGCCAAAGATGGGACACTTTGGATATCAAAAAACACAATAAATGCAATGGATCAAAATATATTAAATATATTTAAATTCATGAGTTCATAATGTTGCTTAGCAAAACTCCAATTATTTGGAATTTGTGAATTTTTAGATCTCTCACTGAGGGGACCCCTGGGTCATCTCCTCCAGTTGACCTGGTTTTCATGGCTGTCTCACTCTACCCTGGATCCCCATGTCCCTGGGTTCTGTTCCAGCACTGTGTTTACAGTTAGCTTTTATCACTTTGCTAAATCTGTGTTAATCTATTTGGAGAAGGCATGGGAGAACTCCAGAGTTATTGGTAGGAGCCGGTCAAGCACTGCCTGCTAACTTAATAGATAATGCTTCACTCTGATATTCACTATTGCTTATACTATGCTGTAACCACCACCAAAAATCAAGATGGAGAATAATTCCATTACCCCTTTGTGCCCCTTTATAATTCCATTTCACACTCTGATAAGTACCATTACTTCCCTTTGTTTCCAGGTACAGTTGTCCCTCAATATTCATTGGGGGGTTAGTTCCAGGACTGCCCCCTCTTCCCATGGATACCAAAATCCAAGGAGGCTCAAGTCCCTTTTATAAAATGGTGTAGTATTTGTCTGTAACCAAAGCACATCCTCCTATATACTTTACATTCTCTCTAGATTACTTATAATACTTAATATAATGTAAATGCTGTGTAAATCATTTTAATGCTATATTGTTTTTTAATTTGTATTTTTACTGTTGTATTGTTATTTTTTAATTTTTAAAAATATTTTTCATCCATGGTTGTTGAATCCATGGAAACTGGATACAGAGGACTGACTTTAAGTAGCTTCTATTAGAAGAAAGCGTGCGTTCTCTTCAATGTGTAGGTTCTGTGATCATATGCTTTCTCAAACAGGGGCTCACATATTTTGAGGGGTTAAAAAGGTGACTTTTTAGTGAAGAAGTATGGCCCATCAACCTGAGGGGCTGGGTGGTAGTCATGACCTAGACGCTAAGCCCTGCTCCTCCAACTCTCTCTGCTCTTCCCACTGAGGGCCTCAGTTTCTTTATGGATAAAACAAAAGGCTGAGGAATGTGCTACCTAGATGTGCAACAGTGTGCACTGAGCTAAGTGAGGGAAGACAGGCTAAGGTCACATAGTGCATAACTCCTTGTTCATTCATTCCCTCCCTCCCTCCCTCCCTCCCTTCCTTTTTGACAGTCTCACTCTGTTGCCTGCCAGCAATTGTGTGATCTCGGCTCACTGCAACCTCCACCTCCTGGGTTCAAGTGATTCTTGTGCCTCAGCCTCCCGGGTAGCTGGGATTACAGGTGCTTGCCATCATGCCCAGCTAATTTTTGTATTTTTAGTAGAGATGGGGTTTCACCATGTTGGCCAGGCTGGTCTCAAACTCCTGGCCTCAGGTGACCCAGCCACCTCAGCCTCTCAAAATGCGGCGATTACAGGTGTGAGCCTGGCCTGTATGTGGCTTTCTAAGAAAGGCAGAACTACAGGGTGAGAAAACAAACCAGCAGCTTCCGGGAACAGAGGGGTAGGTGGATGGAATTAACTATAAAGGGGCACGGGAACATTTTGGGGTATGAAATTATTCCCTATTTTGATTTTCAGTGGTGGTTATATCATTGTATATGTTTGTCAAAACTGATAACAGTGTTGTAATATAAAACAGTGAATTTTAATGTAGGTAAATTATAGCTTAATAAACTAAAAGACACACACACACACACACACACACACACACACCAGAGAACCAGAGAATCTCACAGGTTCCTCCCTGTGTTAATATTCACTGTTCTCTACTGAGAGTGCGATCACAGGCAAGGCCACAGGAAGAGATATCCAGGGACTTGTCTCATGTTTTAAATGTCCCCTCCCTGATCCCTCCTGCCCCTTCCCGACCCAAAGCCATCCTGTGATGTAATGGGAGAAAGAGAAGAACCAGGCTTTATTTTCTTGGTTGGAAACTGTAGGAACGAGGCTGCCCCTCCCGTGGAGGTCCATGTGTTCCCTTGGACGCCAGGTGTTCTCAGAGAATGGAGGCAGGTCCTTGTCCTAGGTCAGAAGGCAGAGTCACTGGCCTGTAATGGAGTATTTTGGAACAAGAGCTCAGAGTCCAAATCCCATGGAAGTAGCCATGAGGCCCATCGGACAAACGGGAATCTAGATGGGCAGTGGGAATCTGTACTGTTTCCATTTTCCATGCGGGGTCTGGGGAGGAGGCCCCTGGCCCGCCACTTGGCTGTTTCTCAGGCATAACGCAGGGCTATTGATTGAGGCCACCCAAGTGACACACAGGGAACCAGGCCCTCGCTGGGAAGAAGGGAGCCAGGGGCTTGTGAGAGGCAGAGAGAGGCCGCTGCCCACACAGGCAAACAAAGCCCACAGCCTCAAGGCTGGCGGGAAGGGCGGCTCTCAGGGGCTAGGCTGTTGGGGAGGTTATCTATCTGGCAGGGATTTGCAAACATACCCGGCCTTCACTGCCTTTCAATGCCTGTCTCAGACATGGCTCCAGCTAACACCAGCACCCATTCTGTGAACATTTACCATGTGACAGGCCCCGGCTAAGCCCTCTGGATTAATTCACAGCCACCCAAAGATTTTGAAACTCTCATTCTTGTTTCACAAATGAGGACACTAAGGCTCAGAATGAGGGTGGCTCTGGGGCTCTGCACTCAGAGGCTGTTTCTTTATTTTGTCTGCTGAGATAAGCCAGACCTGGCCAGGACACCTCCGGGCTCTGAGGAGAACTGAGCCCACGCTGTAAGTGAGCAAGAGCGTACCAGAGAGCTCTGTGACAGATGGAGCTCACGTGGCTACACCCCACAACCCAGGCCCCTTTAAAATTAGCCAGATCCCGCAGCCTCTTTTTGGACAGGGGGCCATACCCCTCTGTGTACGGGGTCTGGTGCAGATCCAGTAACCCCCACTGTGGGTGCTGAAGGGCTGGGTACAGGGAAAGGGGCCCAGCTACTGGTATCGGAAGTCCCACAGCAGGGGCCAGGGGTTCCTATGGGTGTTTCTGCAAAGGAAGGGTGGCGGAGGGAGAGCCTGCTGGGCAGAGCTCTGTGGGCCCAGGAGGGGATACGCGTCTCAGAGAACTACTTGGCTTTGGAGGCTGCCACATCCCAGGAAAGGTTCTAGGACCAGAGACACTCACAGAGGCCCCGGTGGTTCCTCAGAGGCTGGGATCAATGGACAATTGGAGGCTAGCAGCAAAGGAAATGACAGCTTCATGCCTGCTATGCCACAAGTCCCCAGAAGGGTATAGGGAGAGAGGCAGCTATCAGGACGGCTCTCATTCTTGGGTGTGCACAGCTTTTTGTGTTATAGCTGGTAGCCCCAAATCTCCACCTTGATTCTGGGCCTGACAGCAGAGCTCTGCTCTTGGCGGTCAGTAGGGTAGTGTGCATGCACAGCAACAGCCTGATAAGCAAAGATTCTGGAACTAAGCCAGATAGTCCAGCTGAGAAGGCAGGCGCAGCTCTGGGTTCCCTGGAGGTGGTGGCCATGGTCAAAGAGGACAGGAAAGCATGGCTCTTTTGGGGGTGGACCAGGACGTGAGGTGGGACATGTTAGGGACCTGAGGCAGATGTGACCTTGATCTTGACTCTGTGGGGCAGAAAATCCTACACAAGCAGGTGGCCCAGGGGTTGAGAGACGAGTTGGTTCCCTTGTAGCTGTGACTGGGATCCCATTCTCATGCCTCTGAAATCATTTCTACCTTTAGGAGCAAAATTTCTGCCACTGAAGTATGCAGCTAGGTGTTGGCCTTGTCATTCATAGAGGGATTGCAGTACACTAGCACCGCCTTTTTACCTTGCGCTCGTCCTCCTCTTGTCAGCCTGATGCTCAGGCTTTCAGAGTCCGGCTGCTTTGGTGTTAGTGGGAAATGCAACTGTCTGTCACTCAGGAAACAGACTCCGTGTAAGAAGCACCGTCTGTATACAGCAGACTTCGACCCTGGGATCTTCTTCAAGAGGGTGTCAGAGCAGCCATAGGGTTTTATACCTGAGTACAGACAGTGGGGCCTGGAGAATCCCCCAGTCAAGGAGACCCTGGCAGAGTCAGGGACTTTGGCCTTCTGGTGACACCACTGTCCCTACATAACAGAATGAGTCCAATGCCCCAGAGCTCTGGCTTTTCTGTGCTGCTTGGCAGCCTGGTTGGGAGTGAGAAGGAAACAGACGTACGTACGTGTGTGTGTGTGTGAGATAATGGGGAAGGATGGGGTGTGCGGAGGGGTGTTTGATTTTTCTAGAGGCACATTCTGCCCAACAAACCCCCAAACCAAGGAGCCACACAGAGTTAGCTGGATTGAAGTGGGTTCAAGTCATTTATTTTTAGACCGTACCAGCATGTTTGGTTCTGGGGTCCAATCCCCAAATTCCAGAAAAATAAACTAATGAGAACCACATGCACTAAGAGGAGGCCATTCCGACGTGTCCGTGATCATGCGGTGAGTGGGCTTAGAGTATAGAACAGGGGTCCCCGGTGTGGAGCAGGGCCTTCCCTCCCCAGACAGCTGACAGCAGCTGGCTCTGAGCCCTCATTGGGGCTGGGGAGAGGGCCGAGGCCTGGTCATTTGGACCCTGTCGCCACATAGACCCGGGCCCCTTATTGCTACATTTGCTACTTTGCTACTTTATGGCCCCTGGGTCTAGCCCAGGGGATGCCTTATCACTGGGTGGTACTAATGAGTAGGTTGCTGGCATCTGCTGTTGCTATGGTTACACGAGCATAGGCCTCTCTTCAGAGGGTCCCATGGTGAGTTATTAGTGATTCATTTGGCCACTATTCAACTTATCCCATGGTCTTTGCTACATATTCAACTTGGGCAGCTCCTTTTCGAGGCTGGTGGTGCATTATCTCCCCCCGAGCCCAGAGCTTCCCAGCTCCTGGACCTTGCAGCAACACCTCCCTCCAATACATTTTGCAGGGGCCAAAGGAAGAGAGCCCTCAATCCTTTCCCTCTTCTGGGAAGGCTTTCCTGGTGGCGGTTTTTGAAGCTCATGTATTTGGAGCAGAACAGGAGGGATGCATTTTAGGAAAAACATCACCTTCCATAATCACCAAGGGAGCCAGTAGGGTGGCAGGCTCCCGGCTCAGCGTCCTGTTGGTGAGGTAGTTAGAACATCCCAGGAATCCTGCCAGGGAAGAAGCCCCTGGAGCATGTCCCCATGTGTTCAGCTAGTCCAAGCTGCAACTCAGAGTCGCAAGAGGTCCCTCCCAGGGTGCTGGCCGGGGCCCCCTCATGGCCACTCAGCGGCGGTAAGCCTGGAGCACAGGTCCGGCTGACTGCACTCGCAGTTGGGCCTTGCTTTGTTCCTGGGGTATAGCAACACCTTTCCAGGAGAACAAAGCTGACACATCACTTTCTGGAAGGGCAGAAGGCTCCTCCCAAGAGAGTTCCTGCTGCTTAGGTCAGGCCATCTGGTTGTGGCTGGACATTTATATGTGCCAACCTACAAGCTTTCTTCTTCCCATGTAGGGAAAGGTTATTTTAGTCAGATGCCAGTGCCTGGTGCCTTGTGTATCTAACCCGATGGGTGGCTGGTCACTTGCTGCAGCTGCCCTGATGCTGTGGCTGTGGGGCTGCTAAGATGTGGCTGGAGAGCGCTTTTCCTCTTAGGGAGGAGTCCTAGGCCCAGAGACCACACCCATTCAGGGAGGCTAAGGCAGCTTCTAGCGGGCAGGACAGGGTAGGGGAACCTGCTTTGCTACAGAATTGCCTGCAAACATCTAATCTAGTCTGAATTTTTGGCTGTGTAGACCAGGCCAATCGGGAACGGGCCAAGAACAGATCTTCCAAATGTACTTACATGACCAAGGTCTGGGTGGTAGATGGACTTTGGATAGGCAGCCTCATTCCACTTCCTTCTTGCAAGCCTCTGGCTTGATCTACTGGGGAACATGGGTGCCTTAGCCGCGGGGTGGTGTGAGAGGGTTATTGCTCTGGGTTTGAGTCCATCTGAAGTCTCCTTAGCTCCGTTGTGCTTACTGCCCCTCCCCTCTGGATGTCCCCAGAAGTGCTTGTAAGCCTGCAGCCAGCTCTATCTCAGGGCCAGAGACCACCTGGCTCTGGGCAGATCCTCTGGGGATCTCCAGGGAGATACCAGTCAGAAGAAGGGGGCACAGAAGGAATGGCCAAGAAGCCAACCCTGCCCTGTCTGCAGCCTAGCTTAGAATGCCCCTGCACCATGGGGAGAAGCAGGGGGCAGCCAAGCCCCTTGCCCAGGATAACTGAGGGCACTGAGGTGCCTGCTGTTTGGGAACACCCTTTGCCCTATTCCTGGGGGTCAGCACAGCCTGGGGATCCTTGGGCAAGGCTGCAAATGAACTTAGACTACAATTTTGTTCTGAAACAGGAGGTTTATACAAAGAGAAAGGGGATGAAAGGGGCCTGTCAAAAGACCCCATAATGGGGCTTCATGTCATTCATGCACTCATCAAGTGGTTACTGCCTCCAAAGTACCAGCCTCTGTGCTGAGCATGTGGTGTCCAGCAAGAATTGCCACGTCTGGAGACACTGAGGACTCCACATCTGTCATCTCTCCAGTTTCCACTGTGCCTCCGAGAGAGGGAAACTGGGGCATGGCCGTCAAGAACTCACAAGGATACAACATAAGGAAGACTCCTAAGGCCTGTGGCGGCACTGCTGTGAGGGACAGAAGGCTGGTGCCCTGGGGACAGGGCTGTGTGGAAGCAGACATAGACAGGACTCGGAGGTGGTGGGGTGGAAGGATGGGTCATCGGGGAGCACCCAGGAGGCCGGGTCTGCAAATAAGCAAGCATCTGAGCCTTCGGTCACCGGCTGGTGAATTTGGCTACATGAGAAAAGAAATACCAGCGATCGCTTTATTGCTTCTATGTTTTTTGTTTATATGCTCCCACGAGAGATTTTTTTACCTATGGCCAAAAATAGATCAAAGGAGGATAGTCATAGCAAGTGGGGGAGTGAATGTCTGGATTCAAAAACAGGTTACTTAGTACAGCTCTGTCTGTGGGCTCATGGGTGTCACAATAACAATGACAATGATGATAGTATTAGCTACCGTTTGCTAAGCACCTACTACGTATCAGGCACCTGACTCGGTGCTTTACATACATTACCTCACAGCCAGGTTGGCAAACGGTCATTTTGACACACACACAGAGGGAATACAGGTGGATCTTTTGCAGATTTTTGCATTTCCCCTAGGCGACCGGTTTAGAGGCGTGCTTTGGCTGGGCCTTCAGATAAAGACTGGGAGGAGAACCCTGCGGCCTGGCCTGGTCCCTTCGCAGCATACTCTGCTCCAGCTTCACACACACAGGAGACTTGACCCAGCAAGGGTCTCACCATGCCTGTCAGGACACTACCACGTGGGGGCTGCCAGCCCTGTAGTCCAGCCACCTCCTGGGCTGGGGACCCTCCCAGCTCCTACCTGGGGCTGCCAGAGGGGAGAATCCCAATGGCCCCTGAGTTCATGGCCATGTTTTATTTTGAGTAAAACATGAGGCAATAAATCAAGGAGCAAGGGGGCAAACCAGAATAAATTATGAAATAATTTTCTAAAAGATGGTCAGCAGAATTCCCGCAGCTGTGAAACAAGCTCTGTCATCTACACCAGTGCTTCTGCGAACGCTGGACCCTTGAGACATGTGATGGGACCTGAGGGCAGCCACCAGGCTGGCGGGGACCTCTCCGAACGCTGATCTCAAAGAGGGTGGAAAGAACTTGAGGAGGGGCAATCCATGAGGTTGCTTTCTTGCTGAAGACGTGATTTGGACATTTTACGTGAAAGCGGTGCCTGGTGCTGGCGGTGACACCCGGGTGGCCACAGAGATGTGAGGGATGACAGGCGGCGATGGGGATGTAGTGGCTGTAACTATGGGAGGTGCCAGGGAGGTGATGCAAATACTGGATGTGCTCTTGGTCCACTCATTCCTCTTGAATTTGCCAGAAGCTGTGACCCCACAGATAGCAGGGGAGTAAGGATAATAATAGAATCTCAAGTGGTAGTCGTGACAGGAACCCCACGACGCGTCCTCCCCTGAATGAGCTGGGATCAGGGCCTCTTAGCGAGTGGAGTGTTGGAATACAACTGTACAAAGAAGAGAGGGCTGTAAACAGGAGCCTCCGCTGGGCCCAGCCCAGGCTCTGTGGACTCTTTCTTTCTGGTCTCCCCGTTCACCCACCGAGTCTCCCCACCATCGCCCTTCGTTGCCCTCACTCTTTCTCCTTCACAGTGACCAAGTCTCCCCGTAAGGAAACTCTGTCTGCGGATGTGGAGCGTCGCCGCCTGCCCGTGGGGTCCGCGGGCCCAGGCCCTGGACCTGCGGTGGGAACGGTCAGGAGGACTGCATCAGGCCCGTGAGGCGCTTGCCCGCCAGCGACTTTCCCTGCAGAGAGACAGCAACAGAGAGGCACGCACAGGCGCGCGCACACACACACACAGGGACAGAGACAGAGAGCCAGACAGGTGAATTAATTGTTGCATGAGCCATGGAGGCCAGACGACCAACCAACCCGACTGACCACCTCGATATTGGATCTCTAGGTATACGGGAGCCTTAACTTGGGACAGCTGGAGAAACCAGGGCTCCAGGCAAGGTTCAGGGAGTCCTGGAGGGTCCCCTTATGAGGGTGTGTTGCTGGGACTCTTTTTGGGGTGTGGAAATTTTACTTACCAAACACCAGGTATTTAAACCTTCAGGTAGAGCAATTTTTAATGCTGGTGGGCTGCCCTGAAATTGATTTTGTTCACGTGGGGAGGAAAAGGTGGACTGGGGCATACTGAGGTCAGGGACGGGGGGCTTGATTCAAATAGAGGGTGGCTAACGATCTGGCTGACTAGAAGCTAATGAATTAACTAGTCTTAAGAAGGCACAGTCCTGTTTGGAATGCAGGATAGACACAAAGACCTTGAGTCCTCTTGATGACCAGTTCTGGGACTGTGAAAGTGGGGGGCATTTGCTGGGGCTCAGAGCCACTGTAGGTCCCAGGGCAGTGCACTCCTGCTGTCTCCTATGTTCTTGGCTTCCCGTCTGTGGCACCTAGGGGCAGAGTTTGATGACCCCATACCAGGAAAGCCTACAAGCCCTCCAACTATATCCATGTGGCAGTTCTTCTCAAAAACTAAAATAATGAACTGGATCATGAGGCCTGGTGCATCAGCCATAGAGGTGCCAGGAGAGTCCCATTGTCCATGTGCCCTGAGATGTGGCGGAGAAGCCCCTGATCTGGGAGGGGAGTTGTGACTGGGCACCAGGAGGAGGGTGAGGGGGATGGGTGAGGGTCCGTCGCTTTGCTTATTGCCCTTCCATAGTGTGTGCCCGTTCTCCAGCTCACCCTCTTTAGAAATCCATGTCATTGTACAGGGTTTTAGAGGAAAGTGTGGCTGGACCTAGGCAGATTGATCACTGTGTCTGGGAAAGCACTCCAAACCCATCCTATTATTGACAGCGGGTCAGCGACACCACTGCCATCTGTGAAGGGCAGCACGTGAGAGCTCGTCAGCATGGGCTGCAGTGTTTGGCCGTGAGATTGCAGGGGCCAGCGATTCCTCGTGTTCATTTCCAAGTGGGGTGTGAGGGCTCATCTTGTTTACTGGGCTTGGCTGCATATAAGCTAGATGTAATTAAAAAAATTGATCAGGTTTGTGAAGCCTGGTAGGGTCCTCAATAAACCTGCTGATTGATGAATTGATGGATAACGGGTTTATCTAATAAACGAACAACACGGGCTGTGGATTTGCTGGATACAGGACAATGTGGCATCTGGCTTAGATCTCCATGAAGGGGCATGGCCAGCCTGCCTTTGAGAATTCTGGTGCTATAGATGGGAGTTTGTCCAGAAATGAAATTGCCCTCAGGAGCTGTCAGAAAGTCTGCCTTTCCCTACCTTTCCTTGACCTTTTTTCTCCCCATTTCTTTCACTCCCCATTTTCACTAGTGAGACAAAACTTTTCATTTTTTTCTCCCCATCTTAAAACACACACACACACACACACACACACACACACACACGTCTACAAAAATTTCCCCATCAGCAACCTTATCTGAATCTTCAAATACACTCAACTTGGCCTGCAGCAGGATACATTTATACTCGGCTAAGGAGTTTTTAATCAGATTTTGTAAAAATCCGAGAGCGTTATGGTGTCAGACTTTGAAAAATCACTAAGACAGAATGGCTACTCCTTTGTCTAGACCAGGTTAGGTATAACAATAGCTCTTAGAAGGCAGAGGGTGACCTTCAAGGGCTCCCCCAGCCCCGGGTTCTGTGGCACACACACAGCTGTGACTCTCGAGTGCCCTTTCTTACATAGAGTGTGAGGCATTTGTCACTTGGGAGTGTGTCTTCCCAGTGCAGGCCCGAAGGCAGGAAGGACGGGGGCGTGGGGCATCCTCTCTGGGGAAACACGGGGCTGCTGAGTCTAGGGGACTCCTTGTGTGAGCTCTTACAAACCTCCCCTACCCTCTGTTACCCATGTCCATCCCTACCCTATGAAAGGCACAAAGGAAGTTTGTTTTCCTCTTAGGTGCCGCTTATTGCTGTGATAACCACCACACACTAGTATCGGCTCCTCCTCCTCCTCCCATCCCTCCTCCACCAGGGCCACAAATCACATTGTGTACCCAAATATATATGTTCTGAGTTTGCTATCCACAGCGTTTGGGGCTCTCATTTAGCTGGTGAATGGGGGAAAAAAATCACTCAAGCTTCTGAATAAGAGTCTGTTGCCAATGTGTACATTCAAAGCCCAGAGACAAAGGAGGTGAGGTTTACCAGTTGCCCAAACCTACACTGCAGCTTCATTCTTATTAGCAAGGTTATTTTGGCTGGAGAGGGGACTGTGGGTTGAGGGAGGTTGGAGATTCTATTTCTGGAGGATTATGGGTCTATTTGTTTTAGGTGAATTTGGTCCTGAGGCTTCCTCACCCTCAACCCTTCTCCGTTCTACAGAATGGGCTGGGCTGGGCTTGAAGGCGCTAATTAATCTTTTCCTGCCTAAATCCTGGAGCACAGCCTCACAGCTCTGACTCCAAGGACCTGTGGCCAGTCTGTCACTGCCTGCTCCTTCGCTTCCCCCAACTGCTTTTATTTCCCAGGATTTCAGGGTAGGATGGTGCAGCTGACCAGCTTAGGGGCCACCCTTGGGATTGTTCCCAACCTCTCAGCAACCCAGGCGGTGCTGCTTGGCATTTTTGTCTCCCTCTCCCTACTCCTGCTTTCGCGCATTTACCAAATGCCAGCTCTGCTGCTAAAGATGGAGGTCATGAGGGTTCAGGTCGGCTGGAGAAGCAGCTCAGCCCAGCTGCAATCTACCCGCTGCCCAGCGCCCTCCCGGGTGAGTGAGGGCAGGCTCAGGCTGGAAGGCGGTTAATCATGCAGGATGCAGGCATGGCTAGATGCCTGGCCCTGGGCTTTGGGGAAGAAATACTGCAATCACACTTGCTCTGCAGCTGCTTCCCTTCTGAAGAGCTGAGGCTCCTGTAGTTTTCAGTGATCAAAGTAAAATCTGATAGTAGAGGCTACCTGTGTTCAGAGATGAGCTGCCCCAAAGTGCATGCCCCTCTAGGCTTGCAGGACGCTCCTGAGGAGCCTGCTCTGCCCAGAGAGAGGAGAGCTCCTGCCTGTGCCCTCCAGGGCACTACGCCCCTCTCTTTATGCTCATCCCTGCCTCCAGTTTGGATGATCCTGAAGGAACCACTTTGGAAGGGGAATGGTAATTCTGCCTGCCCGTGTCTGGCATTTGCATAGTTACAGAGGAAGCAGTTTTTTTTCAGGGTGTGAATGTGTAATGTTCCTCAGTGCTGGTCAGTTGGGAATGGATCATGGTGCCAGGAAACTGCAGCCAGCTCAGCCCGAGGCCTTGGCGTAGCTGAGCGAAGCAGCTGAGGATGGTTGAAAATGCTATTAGCAGGCAGCCTTTGTCCAAGTGAAAAAATATACAGTGATTAAGAACTGAGCTGCAGAAGGTACATTCCAGAGACATCAAAGCTTTGCATACCGACAAAGTGCTTTTCACCTTTGAGACATTTGGCAAAGTGTAATCCAATAGATTTTGGGATCCTTCAATTTCATGGACCATGGGCTCAGTGCTGGGTTCACTAACACCCACGCATTCAATTCCCACCCTCCACTCTGATTAATCATTTCAGCTCTGTGGCCATCCTGATGGCTAGGAGCCTGGAAGAAGGTGGTCATGAAATCCTTTGTTTCTGAAAGGAAACACACAAAAGGAATGGCCCCCTTTTGTGCAGTGAGAAAAATCAACATGCTGCTTGACATGCTGTGGCTCTGTGCATTGCACTTCCACATATTAATCAACAAAGCATGCACTATCTGGGTTACCAAGAGCTTTTGCCACTTACTTACCTGGGAGACTGATGCTAAACTCTTTCTTTGGCTGGGAGGAGGGCTGTGGCTCAGAGAGTAGCCCTGGGGGTCAGATTGGAGCATACTGGGGGACAGCAGAGCCAAGCACTAGCGGCTCAGGGAGGACCTTTTTCAATGCTAAGACAGTAAAGACATCTGAGCTTCTGATGAGATTTTTTTGCTCATCTGCTCAGATGAACTAAGACCAAAGTTACAGATCTCAAGTCTGCCAAATCAAAATCCAGGCTATTATGGGGGAAAGAAATCAACCACAGTTGCCCGTGGGGGAGAAGGATGAAATTGATTGGAAAGGGACATGCAGGAGCCTTCTAGGGTGAGGGGGTATGCGTTACATGGGTGCATACACTTGTCAAATTCATTGAGCCATATACTTCAGATCTGTTCATTTTACCATATATAATTATATCTCAAAAGAAAAAAAATTAGGAAAAAAAAAAGTCCCAGCTATGACGTCTACTCCTTACTCTTCTTCAGTTGCTGGGCCCATCCCTGGGTTTGGAGAAATTCAATGCTTCCCCTCTCCAGTATGGGAGGAACCTGGATTCCTCTGTTAGGGGAATTCGAACTTCCAACAGAACTAAAGTGGAGCACTATTTCTAGCCTCCATTGATGCAAACGGATCCCTTTGGTGTGACATACAGGCATTTTTCATCCCTGCTCATGAAAAATGGTGTTTTGTTGAATACAGCTCACCAAGCAACCTTAGCAGGCAAGAAGTGGAGGCCCCAGGGATGAGTCATGCTCTCAAGGAGCCTGAAGGTCACCTTTGAATAGACAGTGCTCAAGTTCATAAAGGATGTATATGTGTGGAATTAGAGGCCTGGGGTGGGGTTGGGGGAGACCTGCTGAGGACAAGGGTCAGGAACCCAAGAGACAGGTGGAAAGGTAAGGGATCCTGGCTTGGGTTCAGCAGGATGGGAGAAACCAAAGGCCTGCCTGACTTCATCGGGTGACTCCTGGAAGGTTGTTGCCCTGGTACTCCTTCTCCACTGAGCAA